TGTGTGTGTGTGTGTGTGTGTGTGTGTGTGTGTGTATACTTATTTCTGCTGCAGAGGGAGGACCGTCATTTTTGTGAAGTGAGGACATTTTCCTTGGCCTCTTTTTTTCTTGCAGTTTCCTGTGCTCTATACTGGTCAGGTTTAGAGGTATTGCTTGAATTAAGCTTTGATTAAGGTTAGTGTTTGGAATAAACTAGTAGTGCTTAGGGTTAGGGAAAATTGTGTGGGTTAGGCATAAATGTAGTTAAAAATTTTAATGGAAGTCAAAAGTCCTCAGTTTCTGATGACATTTGGGCGCAATTTTAAGACAAAACGCCTACATTTGGGGACAACTGGTGCATTTGGGGACAATTGGTGCATTTGGGGACAACTGGTGCATTTGGGGACAAAAGTCGAGTCCCCATTTGGTTTAAATGCCATTGGTGTGTTGGGGGTTTGGTTTAGGACCAAGGTGTGAATTTAGTTTAAGTTAGTTTTAGGGTCAGGTAGGTACCTGTGAGATTAGCCTTAGGGTTTGTGGTCAGGGTTAGGCTGTAGAAATGTAATGGAAGTCAATGGAATGTCCCCAAATGGATAGCTGGGCAAACGTGTGTGTGTGCGTGCGCGTGCATGCGTGTACATTAAAATAAATCACACAAAGCAAAATAGTCAGCGCAAACACCCCAAGAAACAGACAACCCATTTCAACACTTAAAATAATTCAATATCAGAAACAAAAAGAAAAACACACAATTAAAGAATGAGTTTATTTATTTGTTTATTTTTTATTTATTTATTTGTTTGTTTATTTTTAATTTTATCGCTATTTAACCAGGCAAATCCCTCTGAGATCGCAAATCTCCTTTGCAACAGAGGCCCGGGCCTGAAGGCAGCCTAGTCTACATATGGTATTTCATTATGAATAATTGATTTTTTATGTCTTTTTAAAATTTGACTTTATTGTCAATAAATACTATTTCTGAAGGCATCCTATTCCAGTAAGAAATGGCTCTATACAGAACTGTATTTTTGTGTATTCGTTCTGAGCAGAGGTAGTGTGAAGGTAACAACAGAGGCGTGTAGAAAAGGCCATGAGGTTTATATGATATCCAAATTTTACGTAAAAGAGCAAGTCTGTCACTGACCTTCATCCATGACAGGACTTGAGTCATAAAATTAACGTTAGTTCTTAAATCACAACCAAGTTCTAATCTTTCAGTTTGTCATCTGTTTTTGAAGCACAAGACCAAACAGTTTTCTTATCCCAGTAGACATAAAATTAGAATTATAATGAATTTGTGAAATATTTCCACTCACTTTAGTCACAATCTGATGTATATGTGTTGACTATGATGTTGTCTGATCCATAATAACGCCCAGCTCTTTAACTTCCTTCACTTAGCCAGTTTTACAGACACTGAGCTAAAGTTTGGTGTGGTAGTAGATCAGAGTTACCGGTAATCCCAACACAGTCTTAAAATCCTGTCATCTACTATTCAAGTCAACTGTGTCTGTTAGCAAAATATCCCATGAATTCCTGAACAGATGAAACCCTGAACATAATCGTTGGGTGTACATTTACACCTGATTAACTTTTGGAGATGAGCCAATTCAAGATGGCCGCCACGGCTAATCAACCTTAGCAAACAGACGTGACCATAAGTCGGTCAGGTCTACAGATAAGGGGTTAGACTTGAAGAGATGGCATCAGTATATCTTATATCATAAGATCACACATTTAGTTATTTACAAGTTTTGACCAGAACAGATCCAACCCTGTTCGTTCTGAGCCTGAGATGATTARAGTTTAACATTCCTCATTCATTAAAGGAACGTTAGGTCTACAGTTCAYTGTTTTATATTGTGTGTTTCTCCCTCGTTGTCTTTGTCTGATGTTGACTCTTTGCTCCYTCACAGAACTTCCCGGCCCTCCTACCAACATCGCGGTCACCAACATTGGCCCCCGTTCCGTCGTCCTGCAGTTCAAACCCGGCTACGACGGCAAAACTTCCATTTCCCGTTGGCTGGTGGAGGCTCAGGTGAGCCAGCTTCAGTTCAGGGCTGATGTACAAATTGTCCAAGTTCTGATATATTTTTTTTCCTTTTCTGTCCTGAATCTAGGGCTACGTTCACACTGCAGGTAAATCCGACCCAAATCCGATTTTTTTGACCCATCTGACTCATATCCGATTTTTTT